GGGTCCCCGCGCTGATACTATGCCACGGGCCGCGCGGAACTTTAATAGGTAGTGGTACAGGTACAGGTACAGGTTTGACGACATTTCGAAGCCTGTGCACCAAATCGGATGTGTTACCAACAGAGACCTTCCTTGACCAGCTTCGGATCAGCAGGAGGTTTCCGAGCTCCAGTGTCAAGAAGCTTGAGGACTTTATTGACATCAGATCCGATTGACGAGATTTCTGCTGACTCGGGTGTTTCAATCTGGGCAATGGATGGGCGAGCATCGGTTAGCTCTATCATTCCATCAGCCATCAATGCTAAGTCAGCCGACGGTTTGTCTGGATGTGATAACAGACTAATCTGGACATTCGAAGGCAGGCGCTGTAGAAAAAGCTCACGTAAAAGCTCTTTGTCGGATGTACCATGTAATTGTTGTAAGCGTCGGAGCAGTTGCGATGGTTTTCGGTCCCCTAACTCTTCAGTGTGTAAGAGTTGTTGGATCTTTCGACGCTTGGAAAGGGACACTCGCTCGGTGAATGTAGCTTTAAGTACGTCGAACGGATTCGTAGAAGTAGGCGTAAGGATCACGTCGCGAACCTCAGTGGCAGCTTCGGGCGATAAAGCCGCGATCAGCTCATAGTAAGGCATAGTCGCATATACAAACACATAGTCGCAAGCAACACATCTTCACATAGCAGAACATAGCAATACATTCTTACATATAGCAGATCACACACGTAGCAACACATCATCACACATAGCAACACACCTTCATAGATAGTTACAGATACTCGTACAAATCAGCACATAGTAACACATGGTCTCAGATACCAGCTCATAGTAAGGCACAGTCGCACATAAAACACATAGTCGCAAGCAGCACATAGCAACACTTCTTCACATAGCTTCACATAGCAATACATTCTTACATATAGCAGATCACTTGTAGCAACACATCATCACGCATAGCAACACACCTTCATTGATAGTTACAGATACTCGCACAAAGCAGCACATGTTAACACTTGGTCTCCGATATCAGCTCATAGTGAGGCATAGTCGCACATACAAACACATAGTCGCAAGCAGCACATAGTAACACATCTTCACATAGCAATGCATTCTTACATATAGCAGATCACACGTAGCAACACATAATCACACATAAAACCTTCATAGATAGTTACAGATACTCACACAAAGTAACACATATGCAGACAGGAAGACTTGAGAGATTCCTGGATGCAGACGCAGAGTAACACCACAAACATCATATTCACAAGAGTACATAACACCAACAGACACAAATGTCATATCTTCACACGCTGATATCACACTGATATCGAAGGAACTAGACTCAGTCCCGAAATATCATTAACTCGAACCGACTTAGCTCAGTTGGCAGAGCATTGGACTAGTGTCCCAAAGGTCGCGGGTTCGATTCCCATCGTGGCCAAGCAAACTTTTCAGCTTGCCCGGTGTGGATGCACACTCAAAGTAACATCACAAACATCAAGTTAGCAATAATGGAGAAATCTGCATGCGGCCAGTTCTAGGAGACGCGGGCGGAGGAGGGGAAACTAAGTGTAATTTGGAGTGGCCATAGGAGGTGAACAAAATGCGCATTAAAATCACTTAAAATACGACTGAACAAGTCACACGATAGGAGAAACAATATTATTTGCTTGATTTTATTCAGAAAAAGAATCCATATTTTCACGGCATTCATTAGAGAAATAACCAGAATTAGTCCAGAAATTCGTTATAATTCAGTCGCTTTGTTTATATTTGCATAAATTATATATTATTTAATGACTGTTTTCCATATTTCACGTTGACAATACGTCGGAGTCCGCGTTTTCCATATTTTTTTACGTCAGACTCCGTGTTTTCCATATTTTACGGCGGACTCCGTGTTTTCCATACGACTCCGTGTTTTCTATATTTTTCTCTGACGTTAGACTCCGTGTTTTCCATATTTTTATGACGTCAGACTCCGGGACTCCGTGTTTTCCATCTAACCCCGACATACACATGAAATACTTTTACACAACATGGCATGTCTTAATATACCTTAGGTTACCTATTAGCCTACCTTAGGTGCCTTTTCTTTTGATTGGCCTTCGGTGCCTTCTTCTTTTGATTTTTTTCGCCTGTCGTTTCTGAAATATGGCCTTTTTGCCATTGGCAGGCCGCAATTTTCGAGCCCCGCTCTATACTTATATGTTAAACTGTAAGATTCCTTGCGGGACCAAGTGAGTGTCAGACAACTTTTCAAATTTTAATGGCTGTACTAAAGACAATTCTGACATTGGATGGTATTTTTTCTAAATTACTGGTGCTATTATTGAATGCACTCTGTTCCCAATTACAACAAATAGTCATATACAATATATTTTTACATAAACAAAACCCAATCTAGATACTTCTGTATCATATATTTAATACTTTTTGACATACCCGTACCATTTGGCATCTGATTAATTAATGCTAAGTATCAAGAACGTTGACACAACCTCGTTACTAGTTTACTCAGAGCTAGCTTTTATATAGACTGGGGGAGTTCCTCTTGCTTCACCGCTAGTGCTTGCTACTTCCTTTAACAGAGAACGATTTAATGGGGATAAAGAGGGGGTGTGCACCGTCCTAGCTTAGGCAAGGGTTCAAGAGGAGGGATTGCCAATTTCCTGATCAAACCTATCTCTGGATTTGGAAAGGCAAAACAAAAATAAAATAGAGATAAAATTAAGCCTGATTTCCATATGGTCGTAAAGATTGAGTCACGATCTTTCTCATCAGCCGAAATACAACACTTTAGAACTAAAAATACGCGATTATATTATATGATTATAACTAGAGACTACTTATGATTTATATGTTTTTTACAGGTATAAACTGATCAATGAGAAAGATCGTGACTCTTAAACTGATTGGTTAAAACAACCAATTTGAATTGGTTGTCTCAGATGCATTTTCTTTTGACCAATATTGTTTGGTCAAAACAACGGAAAAATTGGTTAAAATAACCAAATTTGTGGTTGTTTTAACTAATAAAGTATTGATTTGTCAAATAACAAATTCAAATTGGCTATTTTAACCAATCTGTTTTTACTGTTATTATTATTATTGTCTTTATTAGGGTCCACTACAGTATATGTACAAAGTCTAATTATAAAGTCTAATTATTCGGAGACCCTAAATGGGCGAGGCGCAAACGGGACTCGAAGAACCATGCAAGGCACCTGCCCAAACTTAGTAAAAATTTACTGTTCTAATTGAAAATCTATACTGCTCTAGTAAACCTCGGAGGTGCATACGCCTCATAAAAATCGAGGGTTAGTAAATCCCCCAGTTGTTTCCCACAATGCATTGTATTCCTATTTGATGAATATATAACTGTGTATATTTTACGACCACATGGAAACCGGGCTTTAGTGGCATGAAGGCGAAATTGTTCAGTAAGACTATACAGACTAGCCCCCCTGTATGAGTGGGGCCCATAGAGCTATTCGTCCGTGTGTGCAACGATTGAGGAACTGCGTAATTTCTAGAGATAAAAGCACCTCCCCTCCAGCTAATGCCATCTATAGATATACATATACATACATTGCCTTTTTAAAGGGACACTCCACCCCCAGAACAAGTGTCGCTCATAAGAAAGCTTTATATGAGCCTACATTGGAATGAATATTCGTTCGCCTCAATTCTTTTTCGTTTGCGAGAAATTTAACTTTGTTTCACTGACTTTCGTCCATTATCGCCGCCATGTTTGTTGAATCCGCGGGTGGTCCTATGAGTGCCGTGACGTAAGTGTGTGATAGAAACACATTGTATAATCAGATTTGCTTCGAAACAAATTGTATAATCAAGCTTTAGTCTTTAGAGTTCCTTTTAAATATTTTTTAACGGAAGATGCATGGTTCCTGAGTGTACTAACAACTCGCGGAAAACTGTGGGAATCAGCTACTATAGAATTCCAAAAGAAAAAGGTTTGCGAGAAGCGTGGTTGGCGAGAATTCGCAGTCTGAGTAAACCCACGCGATATAAATAATTCATGTGTTTGTTCGGCGCATTTTACACTAGACTGCTTCGAAAGAACGCTCGATCTTGTGCCTGGCTACCAAAAAAGGCCAAAGCTAAATTCAGACGCGGTGACATCTGTATTTCCGCGCAGTAAGCCACAAAAAGCTATTAAGGGCGAAGAAGAAATCAAATCCGCTCTGAACAAGCCAGACAAGAGGTATTAAGCAAGCCATGAACGCTTGCATGGATTTGTAGTATAAAAAACTTGTACATTATGTAATTTATATTTTGTAGTTTTCATATTGTGGCAGAATTGATTTTCTGAACACTTGTACGTTATTAGACACAAATAAAGCATAAACACTTCAATAACATTTATGTTGTGTATATTTTTATTTGCTGCATATATTTTAAATTGTGTATTTTATACGAGTTCATGTTCTAAAAAAATGTACAACCATCATCTTAACTCCTTCCGACATCATATTGGGACAGTAATATGGAAGACAGACCCTGCATGCTGTAACTGGAGCCTTTCTTAATCGTAGGTTCGAATAGATACGGCTGAAGCGAAAACTTTGCTTCGTCTGTTTCAAATTTTACATTATTCGATGATATATCTTCGTCTACTTCAGAAGAGCTGCTAGTACTCGATCGGGCCATAATTTAAAATGACCAGTAAGATAATAAACGATCAATAACAGAATTTATTTACCCAAAATCACACCGAAATGAACTACGAAGCTGTTAATTTATAGTGTTTACATCAAAGACTGAGTGTTTCTATCACACACTTACGTCACGGCACTCATAGGACCACCCGCGGATTCAACAAACATGGCGGCGATAATGGACGAAAAATCAGTGAAACAAAGTTAAATTTCTCGCAAACGAAAAATAATTGAGGCGAATGAATATTCATTCCAAGGTAGGCTCATATAAAGCTTTCTTATGAGCGACACTTGTTCTGGGGGTGGAGTGTCCCTTTAAGGTTTGGACGTTTTGTTGTGTGGATAAAGCTCAAATATTTGACTATGTATAAAAATTGTCCCCTATGCACAGAATTACCTAATACTAAAATTATTGGAATTTACACTGAGTGTTGCTATCCAGATATTCATTAACGACTCACTGCTTGCTTTGAATGCAAACTTTCGTTCATTTGTGACGGCATAAAATTTGAACTTGTCTGATCTGCCCGGTTTGTCAGCTGGGAGTACTTCAAGGATCTTACCACATTCGATGACACCTTTCGGTGTTTGGTCCTAAATGTAAGAACATAACACAAATTATGTTGATTAAATAGAGTTAATAGTTAACGATTTACGAACATCCAACACTGTCCTTCAAAACCACCAAATATTTCGTAATTTCGCTTCAAATGTATTCTAGGTGATATATGAATGTCTTGGAAATTATTCTGGCAGTTTAAATCGAATGTGGCAGTCTAAGTTAAGGTTAAAGAACACCTTTGAGTGTCAATTTTGCCTAAAATGTTTTTATTGGTTTCCATGAAAGCATTAGACTAGTCCTACTATCTGACCAAGTTTGAACGAAAAATGTTGAAAACTCGCAGAGTTATTTAATAAAATACATTTCCCTGCAATAAGAAAAGCATTGAAAATGTAATATTCAAATTCAATTTTCTCCCGAGGAATTTTACGGTAATTACTGATTTTCAAACGAGTTGTTCTCCAGCGGGTTTTAACGAATTTTTCTCAAATTTTCACAGGGCATAGCTAAAGAAGTCAGTTTCAAAATTGTGTTCGGCTTTGTTCTAATTTTGGATATTTTATATTTTCCGCAAAACGCCAAAAAGGGTGTCCTGTAACCTTAAGATATTATAGGAAGAAACAGCACTCACTTATTGTGCTTCCACAACAAGACTTTAAATTAAAACATGCAAGGTTATTTTTGTAGTGTCGTATTTTTGTAAAACATGTAAGGTGACATTTTTAGTGTCGTATGATTCTTGTTTTATGTTGTTTTGATCTGACTGCAGTCAAAATCACTCAGCCTTTCTTAATTTATGTTCGTCTTGGGGAAAATAATGAAATACGTGAGGTCACGAAGGTATCCATATTTTTTTTTATATGCTTAATGTCTTATATGCTTAATGTCAGCTTTAGTGGCTGTTTACATGGTCCCGCTTTCCCGGAATTTTGAGCAATTGCTCAAAATACGTCACACTTCATTGAATCCCGGGTAAGCGGAACCATATAAACAGCCCCTTAACTTGTCCATATTTCCATGAAGCATCAGTCACAAAATCAGGCTTTATAGATATAAAGCCATTACTTACAGCCATAACAGTCGGTCTATCGCCATATTTTGATGTGAAAATAATAATATTATAACTTTATTTACATCACTATTTTAGTGTCTTTCAGTAGGGCTCTGTATACATGATACTAAGTTATATAAAAACCAACGTTCGAGTATTAGAAGATTAAAAATATTCTTGTGAAAAATAAACATTTCCAACCAGTGAACGTCTCAAAAATCATTATGTTCAATCTTGGTCGCATGCACTTCCAGCATATTTGGGGGAATTTTAAAGTCGAGATGTGCGGCATCATGGTCCACACGTTCTCTGAAATTTAAATATGCAGGACGTTTTATAGTTGATTTACACACGAAATTTTAATTTTTGAATTTTGCTGCCAGGAACATAAATACATTTTTTAGGCCTATTCGTTTCATTTCCCCCTAATATTTTCGTAATTTTCTCCGCATTTCAGGTATTAATTTTTAATTGCTGTCACTAAAATACTCACTAAAATACTTCAAATTACTCTTCCTACCCAATTCATGTTTTGCTGGCTACGAAAACAATTTGCCGATTGGGATTCAATATGTTGCCGACTATACGACTACCTCCCCTGCATCTAAGAGGTTCCAGTCCGCAATAAAATTACAGTTTGATCTAAGTAATCCTTTGCAAGTACTGGATTTCATTGGCCGTAAATCGTTTTTATGTCTTGTATTATAATGAACATCTGCATTTCGAATGAATGTATTGTCATTTATATACAAAGAGGCATCTAGGCATACTCAGGGCATCACTGGAAGAGGAAAGTATCGGTCTATCCAGAACCAACTTTGCTACCTAGTTATGCAATACTTGTACAATATCCTTCATGGTTTTGTTTTTCTTATCTCCCTGCATAGCAGGTTATCATAATCCAGTATTGAAATAATCATTGTTTTCACAAATATTATCCTTGCATGCTTATAGGTAGTAGATGCTTTATATTCTACGATATAGTATTTATTATACGAATAAGTATTCCACGAATAAGTATTATTATTGCTGTACTTGCTTCTTTATAATTGCTCCTGTTCTTGTTCATTTATTCAAATTACAAAATTTTTATAGGGTTGCTTCAATTACAGGAAGGTCGAAAAAAGTAAAAATCTCAAAAATATTTCTACATGTTCTTTGGTGGTTAAATTCTGCTTTCCATTCAGCGTCAGAAACGCAGTTCCACGATCAACCTCGTTCCCAGGGTATTTGCTCTTGGGAAGCAAAGACCCTGGTGGACGCTGGTCACGTGATCTGCTAAAATCTAGCAGATTTTTAATTAGCGTTGTTTTGTCAATCTGGGAGGGGTGGGAATGTAGTAGTTGACATTCGCCAGATGCATTAGTGCTGTATACTTCACTTTACATGTATTAATAAACATGATTTATACTGTTCTAAATTCGTACTCATCATGACAAGATTTCCTGCTATATTGAATGTCATCAATAATAAGTGTAGCCTGCATGGCAGGCGGTACGTAGGAAATACCGCCTGCCGCAAAACTGGGTGTAAATGAACTACCGCCCCTGAAGCATCAACGCTATTTATAGATGCATTAATTAGTAAATATTCAAAATTAGCCACTCCCAAGCTGCTCCCAAGTCCCAACTGCCCAACATAAAATAAATTCCTTGATTCTCATCACCGCCCGACTGAATTTTAAAATCCTCGTTTGAAAACGTTTTATTTTTCGTTATACAATATAAATGTACCGCCCGACAAAATAATTCAAGACAGTTAATTTTTTCATATTTTATATAGAGTTTTTATTGCCATTTTAAACTTCCAATTTGAAACAAACAGAATTTTGAGTGAAATTTCATTGTATTTTAAAGAAACTCAGTCATTCTGTCATTGTTCGTGGAGATACGAACTATTGATATATAAATTATATAAATATAAAATATAAAAAATAAATCTCCCACTGTCTTCGACATTTCAAAGTGTAGACTGTGTCTAGTGATGAGAATTAAGGAATTTATTTTATGTGTTAATATAAACCAAGCCCGTTTAGCCGTTTAGCTACCTTAAAACGGTGGTTTAATAAGCTCAAAATACAAAGCATGCAAGTCTATACTATAGATTCATCATCAGTCAACAACCAAACTGAAAGTATTGAACCTTATAGAACGATAGTTTTTTTGTTTACAACTATACATATTCAACGGGTATATAAGAGTTTAACTGTTATTTGATAATTACTGCATCAACCGGCCCCTTGTTTATACTTTGGAGGTTCGTATATAATATCTATCAAGTATCTTTGGTTCAGAACATGACTGATAGGCCTATATGGAAATCCCACTGTTCGATTCGGTGAAGAAATATCCCCTAATTTCTATCGATAGTTTTGGTAAAATGTCAACATTATTGCGATTTATGGCCTTTGAAAGTCAAGCGAGATAGTATATTATCAAATTAATACGCATGTAATTGTCTGAACGAAAATATAGACTAGCCCATACCTTTCGCCGATCATAACTTCGGCCCCTTCGGACGTATCTTCTTTGTTAGATATTCTTGTTCGAATCTCTATCAATAACACTATTTAGAGTGTTATTTTTCAGCTTGTATCTTTTAATTTGCTTCTTTTTATTATGTTATTCCATTTCTGGTCTGACTTGACGTGAACTAATTTCAAAACGCAGAGTTTCAAAAATCAAAACGTCAAAACATTTGGTTAATGATTAACATTTAACCGAATTTAGCCGTTGATTGACAACTACATAAAAATACTAACCAATCCGTTTTTTCCGTTCACCAGCGGACGGGTAATTCAAAAACCCCTAGTTTTGCGGCAGACGGTATTTCCTTTGCTTCCCTAATTTTCGCTGCCCGTAGAAATACCGCCTGCCATGCAGGCTACTAGTTTTGCGGCAGACGGTATTTCCTTTGCTTCCCTAATTTTCGCTGCCCGTAGAAATACCGCCTGCCATGCAGGCTAAGGCTGCATAGACCTAATGACAGTTGAGAAATTTACTCTATATATACTGTATATTATAAACAACTTCCAAAGGAAAATTCTAACATAAATATATATAGAACTAGTTCCTATAACTTTAGTAATCAATTAATCAGAAGCTAAATAAATATAGCGATTACCTTCCTTATATGTATACAACAATATAAAATAATTGATACAATGCTATTATAAACAAAGCCTATTAAGAAACCTATTGTCCCAAATTAGCGAGTAAGTGTTGGGGTTCTACTATAAATTTCAAGCCTCGTTTGGCAAATTACTTATAGGCATGTGAATTACGTGAAGTTGTGAGTAGCAACGAGATGTATCAAACAACGTTTATAGCCAAATTATTTGTCTACTGACTCTACCGAAGACTGCTACCGAAGTATAGCTTCGAGACTAGAGCTTTAAAGACCATGTCAAGTCCGTAATGTAAAAAAATCCTTTGTTTAATACATTAATACATTAATACAATACAATAAGACATACTAACTGAATACCAAACACTTTTCTGGGTCGCTATTGTAAATGAATATAAACTAGAG